AAAAATTAGCTGGGTTTGCTGGCACACGCCTGTAGTCCCAGCTACTCAGGAGGCTGAGGCAGGAGAATTGCTTAAACCGGGGAAGCGGAGGTTGCAGTGAGCCAAGATCGCACCACTGCACTCCAGTCTGGCGACAGAGCGAGACTCCATCTCAAAAAAGAAAAAAACAAAAATAGTGCCTGGATCTCTGGCTGTGGTCTGCACCGTCACGGTAGGCGTGGTCTCTCTTGTACTCCTTGACTCTGTAGTATGTAGTGTCATGGCTGGGCACAGTGGCCATGCCTGTAATCCTTGAGCCCAGGAGTTAAAGACCAGCCTGGACAACATAGTGAGACTTTGTATCTGTTTTTTAAAAATCGAAAAATTTTAAAAAGAATCGTTTTGTAAATCAGAAAATATGAATGTGGAGAAAACCTAGCCAGGCACAGTGGCTCATGCCTATAATCACAGCACTTTGGGAGGCCAAGGCGGGAGGATCACTTGTGCCCCAGAATTTAAGGCTCAGCCTAGGCAACATGATGAAAACCCCATCTCTACAAAAAATATACAAACTAGCTGGGCATGGTAACACACACTTGTGGTCCCAGCTATTTGGGATGCTGGGGTGGGAGAATTGCTTGAGCCTGGGAGGCAGAGGTTGCAGTGAGCCAAGATCAAGGAGTTCAAGACCAGCCTGGCCAACATGGTGAAACCCTGTCCTCAAAAAAAAAAAAAAAAAAAGAAAAATCCAAGTGGACAACAAGGGTATATTGTGCAACTCTTCCTTGTCCCTTAGTCCCCCTTCTCTCAAGAAGCAGCTGCATTCCCAGTTTATTATATATTCTTTCAGAGGTAATGGCCGGATAGAGTGACTCACTTTGTGGGTGTAATCCTGGCACTTTGGAAACAAGGCAGGCATATCACGAGGTCATGAGTTCAAGACCAGCCTGGCCAACATGGTGAAACTCCGTCTCTACCAAACATAAAAAAATTAGCTGGGCATAGTGGTGGGCATCTGTAATCCCAGCTACTGGGGAGGCTGAGGCAGAAGAATTGCTTGAACCCAGGAGGCTGAGGTTGCAGTCAGTCGAGATGGTACCACTTCACTCCAGCCCAAGTGACAGAGTGAGGGTCTGTCTCAAAAAAACAAACAAACAAAAAAAAAACCACGCCAAGGTAATGTATGCATTTGCAAATATATTTGACAATAAATGATAGCATGCTATAAAAATTGTCATGTGGCCAGGGGCAGTGGCTCACACCTGTAATCCCAACACTTTGGGAGGCTGAGGCGGGCAGATCACCTGAGGTCAGGAGTTGGAGACCAGCATGGCCAACAGCATGAAACCATATCTCTACTAAAAATACAAAAAATGAGCCATGCGTGGTAGCACATGCCTGTATTCCCAGCTACTTGGTAAACTGAGGCAGGAAACTCACTTGAACTGGGGAGGTGGAGGTTGCTGTGAGCTGAGATCGTGCCACTGCATTCCAGCCTGGGCAACAGAGTAAGACTGTCTCAAAAAAAAAAAAAAAAAAAAAAAAGAAAGAAAAAAGAAAAAAATTTTCATGCATTTTGCTTTTTTCCATTAACAACTTACCTGGGGCTTGTTCTATTGGCATATATGAAGCTGCCTCTATTATGTTTTATTCACTTACTGTATAGTATTCCATTGTGTGGATATAGCATAATTTATATATCCAGCTCCCTTTTGAAAGATATTTAGATCATTTCCAGTCTTACTGTTAGCAAGAATATCATTAATATCCTTGTACATACTATATTCCACAAAGGTGCAAATATATCAAAAGATAAATACCTTAGAAAGGACTTTCTAGGTCTAAGTATATACACATTTTTAATTTAGAAAGACATTGCCAGGTTGTCTTAAGTGTACCAATAAACACTCCTATTAGCGATATATGGCCAGGCATAGTGGGTTACATCTGTAATCCCAGCACTTTGGGAGGCCAAGGCCAGCGGATCACTTGAGGTCAGGAGTTCCAGACCAGCCTGATCAACATGGTGAAACCCCATCTCTACTAAAAAAAATATATATATATATATATATGTATGTATGTATGTATATGTATGTATGTATATGTATATATGTATGTATGTATATGTATGTATGTGTATGTATGTATATGTATGTATGTGTATGTATGTATATGTATGTATGTATATGTATGTATATATGTATATGTATGTATGTGTATATGTATATGTGTGTGTGTGTGTGTGTATATATATATATTTGAAGTTGAGGCAGGAGAATTGCTTGAACCTGGGAGGCGGAGGTTCTAGTGAGTCAAGATCATGGCCCTGCATTCCAGCCTGGGTGACAGAGCAAGACTCTGTCTCAGAA